GAAAAGGAGGCCTAGAGATATTCAGCATTCAACTTCAAATCACACAGTTATTTAGATTCAGTGCTCATTATACCAACGGAGTCTGCAAAAAGTATACAAAATGCTGATGTGAGTGAATGTGGGGTAGGCATCAGGATTTTAAAGGGACACAAAGGAATGAGATCAGTTCCTCTTAGCCATGAACAGTGTATTAGATATTGTGTGTAGACGTGCTTTGTGCCCTATTTAATAAAGTAACACTATATAACTTTGATTTTCCAAATGATAAAGTATATCGGAGGAGATTATGAAATAGAATTTATAATGAGAATTCATTCAGGGAAGAGAAAGAAATGAAATGCACTAAAAATAAGTATTCTGATAACAATGAATTGATTCCCCTTAAAGGGAATTGGATATGTATTGTGAGATTATCCAAATTAGGTACTTTTTAGTGTGGTTCTTTCAAAAGCAGATGATTCTGACTGTGCAAGCTTTTTACTGCAGAATCCCCCAATCTAGATAAAGGACACAGAGAGGCTGCAACTGATGTCCATGACCTCAGGGATCTGAACACAGGGCAGGGATGGGGTGAGGGTGGGAGGAGTAGAGAGAGTTTAGTTTTGTCTGTCTGTATCCTGATTCTTCCAGATCCTAGGTTCCTGATATTCTGCATGGTTAATAACTGTTCCCATTTCATAGGTATTGAGATTTGTTATATCTATGTGAAAGTGCAAGGTTTCTTGTGTACATCTTGTGAAATTATTACAATTATTTACCTTAGAGGAAACAGAGAGAGAGAAAAAAGACCTTGTGGATCACCTTTCTATAGCTAAGGAGATAGGCCCACACAGCAGAACTGACTTGTTCGGAACTTCACAGTTTCTGGCAAAATGCAGGCCTCCGCACACTTTGCGTAGTGCTACATGTGATTTTGGAATAGCACAAATTTGTGTTTCGTAAGAGGGAAATGACACAGGGGGAGGACTGCTGACATGGGGACTGGGACTCCTGGCATTATTTCAGGCTGTTTGCATTTTTTTAAAAATTTATTTTATTGATTTTTCACAGAGAGGAAGGGAGAGGGATAGAGAGTTAGAAACATCGATGAGAGAGAAACATCAATCAGCTGCCTCCTGCACACCACCTACTGGGGATGTGCCCGCAACCAAGGTACATGCCCTTGACCAAATCGAACCTGGGACCCTTCAGTCCGCAGACTGACGCTCTATCCACTGAGCCAAACTGGTCAGGGCGGCTGTTTGCATCCTTAGAACAAGCCCAACAATGGGCTTCCTGGGCTGAGACTGACCTGAAATGCGATTACACCGCTTAAAGCCTCTGGTGAAGAGGGTTTTCAGGAGCTGCTATAACCATGGTCTGGGCCTAAGCGAGGCTTTTAAGGAAAAAGATATTCATTCAAGATGATGAAATGCATGAAAGGAAAGGCCAAACTCTGAGACAAAACAACTCCCTCTGGACAGTTTTAGCCATTACTGCCCACCGACTGCGCGCCCGGGAGGCTGAACGCCTGCCCGTCGTGTTTACTGTATCCACAGCACCAAGCACAGGCGCGGCCTGCAGCACGTACCGGGGAAGTAGGTGTTGAATAAATAAAAGAAGGAGAAATGAATGAAAAGCATTGCTTCTTTGCACTCAGAAGGTGTCCAACATTTGCTATTGGACATCTCAGGACCTTTCCCTGTACTAATGATTTTCCTTCCTAAGGTCAGAAGTTGCTGCTCAGAGCATTTCTGTTTTACCAAACTGAACTGCACCTTCCTATCCCAACCAGAGACATTCGGTTGGAATTGCACACGGAACTGAGGCAGCCCACAGGCCGGCCGGCCTGCATCTTGTCTCTCTTGTCTTGCTTGCCAAGTCCCAAAGGCCTGGAAGAGAACCCCCAAATCCCGGGCCTGCTGTTCACTCCCGCCTACACACTAACCATAGTCCTCTCAATCAGAAACCGTGTTAAGCCTAGATAACAGAACTGACTTGTTCTGACTCCGCATGGTTTCTGGCAAAAGCCAGGCTTCCTGAACACTTTGCCTGGCTGCACGTGTTCTTGGGAGAGCACAGACAGGTAGTGCCTGCCCTAGTCCTTCCAGGCCACTAGCAATTCTAAAACCGAGCCATGGCTGATGAATTTCAGTATGTGGCATCAAAACAGCTTTGATATGGTTGGGCCTTTAGATTTTAAGACTGTTGTCATCGGCCCCGTCCCTCTGGGTGACTCTGGCAGGTTAGAGGAGCAATTCGACCGCAGTTGCTTCCTGCCAGTCTCTACCAGTTAGATTTTCCTCTTTTGAGTTCTGACTTGGGAGTTTCTCCTAAACATGGTCTAGAAGCCAAACCCAAATCCGTAGGACAGAATTACCTGACGGCTGCTGCCAAAACAAGACTACAGAAGAGATAGATGGTACAAACAGAGGCAGAGGACGCAGACATTAGCACTAAGCAAATGTCCCAGCAGCCACATGCAGAAGAATGAAACTAGACGACTGCCTTTCAGCCATCCTCAAACACCTCAAAATGGATGAAAGCCTTGAATGTTACACTTGAAACCATAAAACACTTGGAAGAACACAGATGCTAAGTTTCTGGACATCACTTAGTGATGTTTTTGTGGATTTAATTCCAATGGCAAGGGAAACAAAAGCAAAAATAAACAAATGGGACTACATCAAACTAAAAAGCGTTTGTACAGCAAAGGAAACCATCAACAAAATGAAAAGGCAGCCTACCGAATGGGAAAAGATATTTGCAAATCATATACCTGATAAGCAGTTAATATAAAAATATATAAGAATTCAAACATCTCAACAACAACCAAAAAACCCAGTAAAAAAAAAATGGGCAAGGAGCCCTGGCTGGTTTGGCTCAGTGGATAGAGCATTGGCTTGCAGACTGAAGGGTCCTGGGTTTGATTCCAGTCAAGGGCACATGCCTGGATTGTGGGCTTGATCCTCAGTAGGGGGCATGCAGGAGGCAGCCAGTCAATGATTCTCTCTCATTATTGATGTTTCTATCTCTCTCCCTTTTCCTTCTTCTCTGAAATCAATAAAAAAGTATTTTAAAAAAGGGCAAGGGATCTGAATAGGCACTTTTGCAAAGAAGACATACAGATAGCCAACAGGCACATGAAAAGATGTTCAACATCATTAATTATTAGGGAAATGTAAATCAAAACCACAATGAGAATCACCTCACAGCTCTTGGAATGGCTATCACCAAAACGACAAGAAATAACAAATGTTGGTGATGATGCAGAGAACAGAGAATGTTTGTGCACTGCTGCTGGCGGGATTGTAAATTAGTGCAGCCGCTATGGAAAACAGTATGAAGATGCCTCAAATTACCATATGACCCAGCTATTTCTCTTCTGTGTATTTACCTGGAGAATATGAAATACTAATTTGAAATGATATTTGCACACCTATGTTCATTGCAGCATTATTTACAATAGTCAAGATATGGAAATAGCCCTGGCTGGGTAGTTCAGTTGGTTGTCTCCAAACACCAAGGTTGTGAGTTTGATCCCCGGTCAGGGCACATACAAGAATCAACCAATGGCCAAACCGGTTTGGCTCAGTGGATAGAGCGTCGGCCTGCAGACTGAAGGGTCCCAGGTTCGATTCTGGTCAAGGGCATGTGCCTTGGTTGCGGGCACATCCCCAGTGGGAGGTGTGCAGGAGGCAGCTGGTCGATGTTTCTCTCTCATCGATGTTTCTAACTCTCTATCCCTCTCCCTCCCTCTCTGTAAAAACTCAATAAAATATATTAAAAAAAAAAAAAAAGAATCAACCAATGAATGCATAAATAAGTGGAACAACACATCAATGTTTCTCTCAATCTCTCTCTTTCCTCTCTCTAAAATCAATAAATTAAAAAATTTTCTAAAAGATAGGGAAATAACTTAAGTGCCCATTGACAACTAAAGATAAAGTGTGGCCTATATACTATATATTAATCAGCCATAAAAGAAGTGAAATCCTGCCATTTATGACAACATGGATGGACCTTAAAAGAATTACACTAAGTAAAAGAAGTCAGATAGAAAAAGACAAACACCATATGATTTCACTCATATGTGAGCTATAAAAACAAAACCAAATGAGCAAACAACAAAACAAACGAAAAGCAAACTTACAGAGGCAGACAACAGATGGTGGTTACCCGAGGGGAAGCGGGTGGAGGAAGGGCAAAACGGAAAGGGGGTCAACTGCATGGTGCTGGGTGGAAGCTGGACTTTTGAGGTGAGCGTGATGCAGTATATACAGATTTTGAAGTATAATGTTGCACACCTGAAACATAATGTTATAAACCAATCTTGCCTCCATCAAACATTTTAAAAATTATTTAATTATAAAGAAGGAAGGAAGGAGGGAAGAAAACATTCTGGGACATTGTTCAGACACAGATCTTGAGTGGAGAGGACAGGAGGTGCCAGATGTGAGAATGTATTTTGCCTTTTTTTTTCTTTAAATTCTCACTTGAGGCTATGTTTTTATTGATTTTTAGAGAGGAATACAGAGAGAGAAAAACATTGATATGAGAGAGAGATCATTGATCTCAATTGGTTGCCTCCCCTATATACCCCAAATGGGATGGAACCTGAAACCTAGGTATATGCCCTAACCAGGAATCGAATCTGCAACCTTTTTGGTGTATGGGACGACGCTCCAACCAACTGAGCCACACTGGTCAGGGCTTGCCTTTTCCTCCCCCCCCCCTTTTTTTAAAATATATTTTTTATTGATTTCAGAGAGGAAGGGAAAGGGAGAGAGATAGAAACATCAATAAGTCATTGATTGGCTGCCTCCTGCGCGCCCCCTACTGGGGGTCCTGCAACCCAGGCAAGTGTCCTTGACTGGAATCAAACCTGGGACCCTTCAATCTGCAGGCCGGCGCTCTATCCACTGCGCATACCGGCTAGGGCGGGCTTGCCTTTTCTTTAAATGAACTTGGACTGGTCTTGACTTTGGCAAGAGCTTCCCTCCCCAGCAATTCCCACTCACCTCTGCAGTGGGCTGCTTCCCAGCTCCTCCAATGTCCCGGCCACAGCTCAGGGCTGCTTTCTCTTCCCCTTCAGCCCCTGTCCAGGCGGCTGCAGTTGCCTAACCCTGTTTTGTTACTGGAGTGGGTCAGGAGGCTGGCCTTGGAGATCACGTTACACAGCAGCCCACTGGCTTGAGCCAGGCACGTGACAAGAGAAAAAAGTCTGGGTCTGTGTGGACTGGAGACAAAAAGTGCCCTCCTTGCCAAAGAACACCTCCTTAAAGCCCAGAGGAGATGGGCAGTTCAGGCAGGAGCTTGAAAGAGGGCACTTGGCCAAACTTTGGGCTTTTGTTTTCTTTTTGAAAACTTTCTTCATCTTCCTCAACTTAAGGAAATGTTGCTGTCCCGTAGGAGGCAGTTTCAGTAAGAGATGTGGAAAGCAGAAGGCAGGCAGTCCAAGTAGATAAAAAGGTTACATGGAGCAGAGAAGCTCACTCTCTCTCTCTCTTTTGTTATTGCTGGGGAGGGCAGGCAAGGGAGAAGAGGTGCATGTGCTTATACTACTGAGTCTGGAAGGAGTGCCTGGAGAGGTGAAGTTTACATGTTGATTGAAAGGTGAAATTAGGATCCAGGATCCATGACATGAACGGGTGAACGAGCACCTTTGAAAAGGAACCGAGCTTTTATTTTTTTAAATTTCTAAAAATTATTTTTGAATAGGCAATATGTGCATCTGATACGAAATACAAAAGGGGCAAAAGAGTGGACAGGAAAAAGTCTTTTTTCACTCCCTCTCCCCAACCCAGTGTTTTTTTTCTATCTGTCCATGCTTGTTTATGTAAATACAAATATGTCTGCCCCTCTTCTTTAGAAACCTTATACACAGGTGTTAGTTCTGCTCCTTGCTTTTTTGATTTAACACTCAAACGTGGAAATTGTTTCATATAGTACCTTGAAGTGATAGCACATTCTTTTTAATGGCTGCATGCTGCCCCATTGTGTAGGTGTGTCATGCTCTATTTGGCTAATAAAGGACCATGAATGCTTGCTCACAAATTAATTACATTTTGTACAACTTGTTCATGTTTTTCCTCATCTCTCCTTTCAGAGGTACCCATATTGTTTTTCAATATTCCAAGTATTTATGTAATGTATATATTCCCTGGCTCAACAAGTCTATCTTGTGTACTGATCAAATTTTGCTACCTGACTTCCAAGGCCCACCTTAATCTAGTTGCTCTCATGTAACATTATTCCTCATTTCTTTCTACTTTATAATGCTCCCAGCATCACCGTCAAGCACAAACATTTATTGTTCACTAGCCATGTGCAGACATTTTTTTTAAAAAAACTTGGAGAGAGGAAGAGAGTGGGGAGGGGGGAGAAACATTGATTCATTATTCCACTTATTTATGTATTCATTGGTTGATTCTTTTTTTTAAAATATATTTTATTGATTTTTCACAGAGAGGAAGGGAGAGGGATAGAAAGTTAGAAACATCGATCAGCTGCCTCCTGCACACTCCCTACTGGGGTTGTGCCCACAACCAAGGTACATGCCCTTGACCGGAATCGAACCTGGAACCCTTGAGTCTGCAGGCTGACACTCTATCCCAGCCGTGGGCAAACTACGGCCCGCAGGCCGGCCCATTTGAAATGAATAAAACTAAAAAAAAAAAAAGACCGTACCCTTTTATGTAATGATGTTTACTTTGAATTTATATTAGTTCACACAAACACTCCATCCATGCTTTTGTTCTGGCCCTCCGGTCCAGTTTAAGAACCCATTGTGGCCCTCGAGTCAAAAAGTTTGCCCACCCCTGCTCTATCCACTGAGCCAAACCGGTCAGGGCAATTTGGTTGATTCTTGTATGTGCCCTGACCCATAACCTTGGCATATGAGGGAACACTCTAACCAACTGAGCAACCTGGCCACGTCCATGAAGTGCTCTTGAGGGGTCCTGAGACCCTGCAAGAGGCAGGTCTGAGTTCCACCTGAGAGCAGACACCACCAGCTTTGTGAGCTCGGCCTCTCTCAGTCTGTTGCCTCATTTGTACAATGAGTGAGATGGGTTAGTGCAGTGGTTCTCAACCTTCCTAATGCCGCGACCCTTTAATACAGTTCCTCATGTTGTGGTGACCCCCAATTTCATTGTTACAAATTGAACATAATGAAAGCATAGTGATTAATCACAAAAACAATATGTAATTATGTATGTGTTTTCCTATGGTCTTAGGCGACCCCTGTGAAAGGGTCGTTCGACCGCCAAAGGGGTCGTGACCCACAGGTTGAGAACCGATGCGTTAGTGGATCTCTGAGGCCCCTCCCAGTTCTAATGTCTGATAATCTGGAGTTGAGATTTTAAACTGTGTTTAAATTTTTCTGGAATACATCTCCTATCCCAAGCCCCAAACAAACACATCTGGTTAGAAACTTCTGAGATATTCTGAAGCCTTTGGGTCCCGTTGTTTCTAGAACATTACAGAATGTTAGAGAAGTTCAAAAGAAGATTCTCAATACTGGTCATATAAAAAAAATCACAGATCTGGCTGTAACAAGAGAGATGCTGGGGTTGATGTATGTAATACCAGGGATTGGGAGAGAGGAAGGGAAGAGAGGTTTAAAACTGACTACAGAGTCCTGAAAGACAAGTTTTACTTTTAACTCTTTGCACTGGCCTATATTTTTATTTGCCTACCTACAGGAAGGGTTCTATAGCAGGGATCAACTTTCTTCTTTGTAAAGTACTGAATATTCAGTTAGCAGCCTTGGAGAATTCCACAATAACAATAATCAAAAGGATGTAGTTGCCCTCACTGGTTTGGCTCAGTGCAGTGGTCGGCAAACTGTGGCTCGCGAGCCAGTGCGGCTCTTTGGCCCCTTGAGTGTGGCCACGAAGTTTCAATGCGCACTGTACGTGTGTGCCCGCACGTGGTATTTTGTGGAAGAGCCACACTCAAGGGGCTGCAGTTTGCCAACCATTTGCTCAGTGGATAGAGCATCAGCTTTGCAGGCTGAAGGGCCCCAGGTTCGATTCCATTCAAGCTTGATCCCCAGGTGGGGGTGTGCAGGAGGCAGCTGATCAATGATTCTCTCTCATCATGATGTTTCTCTCTTTCCCTCTCCCTTCCTCTTGGAAGATGTAGTTAATTATTTCTCAAACAGAATCACCTAGTAAAATTACCTAAATTGTTACTTAATATTTCCATAGGCAACATTTACCATAACTGGGAGAGGCTAGCTTTCTTTTTAAAAAATCAAATTTAGTGTAATTTAAAAAAAAGTTAAATGTTTTTGCCTTTACTCCATTCTCTGTCTGTAAGAGTCAAAATAATCTTTAAAAACATAAACCAGAGTCAGGAAAATCCTCCTGGGTTTCCCAGTGCCCTTTCAAGAGTATAATTCTAAAGCCCCCCACATCTTGGCTCACCTGGGGTCTCTGTTTTCCTCTCCAGCCTCACCTCTCCGGAGCCGCCCAGGCCTCCCTTTACCTCTTACACATAAAACTCAGTTTCCCTCTGCCTGAAACTTACTGCTCCCATTCCTCATGCCCCCCTTTCTCTCTGATCCTGCCCTGATCTCTGCCTAAATGCATCTTCCTAGAGAGGTCTTCTTTGACCTAAGTAACTCCGCCTATCTTTCCCCAATCCAGTTATTCTCTGTCACTTCACCCCATTAGTTTCCTTCATGATAGTTACCAGTTTCTCATTATCCTTTTGATTATTACTCAATGCTTATTTACTTGCTCTACTGTTGACACCAAATGTCAAGTTGCACAAGGCCAGGAACCATGTCTATTTCATTCACCAGTGTATCTTCCAGTGTCAGCCTGGGGTTCTGCCCTTATTAAATGGCCCATAAACAAACCTGGATGAACTCCTAATCTCATATTAGAAGATTCAAATCCTGGTCTTATCTCTGGGAGCTGGGTGACCTTAAATTATTTAATTACTTTCCGTGAAATTAGGGGAATGCATTCTTATTATTGCTAGTAGATTCTGAAGTGTTACTTTAGAAGACTTTATCGTCAAAGAAAATCAAATGAGATATGAATAAAATAGATTTGATATCTATTTCTGGATTAAAAAAATAAACTGATCTCATCAGAGATCTGAAGGTTTTTCAGGTTGTAATCAAAAGATCAAAATAATACTCAAATGCATAGTCATGAAATACGATATTTGCCTTATATTCAGGAGAAGTTTGATGATGTGTTCATAATTTTCAAGTCAGAAGAAGGGTTTTCTATTATGTAGAAAAAACAGGGACAACATACTGTGAAAGCAGGAAGTTAACCCCAAAGATACCAAGAAAAAAAACGTCAGCTGGGTGCATTTTTCAGTGGCATGTAAAGATAAATATATTATCTGATAAAGGACATTATACAAAGTGACAGACCTTGTTTACTTTGGAGGCGGGTGGAGGGAGCACTCCAACAATGGGACTAGTCAGTTGACAGGCATCTATAATAAATGTCTGAGACTTGGGCGGAGGGTGATTGACAATGGTACTGGACGCCTGGACGCATTTACCTTCTTCCCCATTTCCAAAACATTTCAAACCCGTTTTTATTACATTTTATCTTGGCGCACACATTACACTTTAAGAAACGCACCGTTAGATTTACTTCGGACTGGGAATAACAGAAAGCCTAGCTGGCCAAGGATAGCGCCCTGACTGGGTCTTAGGGAGATCCATTTACGAGTGTTTCTCAATTTTCTTTAACCTATAATCTCCCAGCTGAGAAATTATGATTAAGCCTTACTTTCTATACTTTGTAGTTCAAAAGCATATATATATATAAAATATATATATAATATATACAATATAAAGTATATATTTTTAATAAATATAACATTGTATTAGTGCAAATATTCCCCAACTGCCCTCCCATTTGGGGCCTTTCTCCCAAAGACCATCAGTGACTTTGTTCTAATTTTGAACTAGCGTGAGTGCAGCAAAAAATCCATTGTTCACAACAAACACTCCAGCACCTCCTGCAATACAAGCCATCTGTGTGTTTTTTTGTGTGTGTTTTTACATTTATCTTCAATAAATAACCTGAGAAATAAACACCATGTTCTAGAATCTAGGTGAAGGTGTGCGGGGGTGGAGATGTTTCCTGTTTGATTGTTTCAGTGCACAACAGGCCTGAGCTTCAGGAAAAAACAAAATTCCAAGCAAGGATCGAGAAGCCTGCTCCTCTGCTCTCCTCTCCTGAGCCTCGTAAGCGGGCCAAAGGGCACCGGGAACCCCGGGGACCAGGGGAGGGAGCGTCCCCCGGCTGCTCCATCACGTCTGCAGCACCGCTAACCACCCCGGCCCGTCCCGGGGTTAAGAGACCACCAGGAACGGTCATTGAACACACACATTTCCCATTTATTAATACAACCACCTTGTGAGATAGCTACTCATCTCTGTTACAGACCAGGACGCGACACTCACTCGCGGTGAAGGGTTCCGGAAGTGCCTGTGATACTCTACCCTGGGGGCTGGGGGGCTCACCCCGGAGCACAGAGGGGAAACCCAGCTGGAAACGGCGGCTGAAGGCCCGCTCTGCGCCCGGCCTTGGAAATGGACGGAGGGTTCGGAGACTTCCCTTGGAGGGAAATGTTTACACGTGGGGAGGCCCAGTGACTCGGTGGGTGTGAAGGCCTCCAGGACCAGCACGGGGCTTTGGCGTCCTCGTCTCTTCTCAGGAACCGGGAATGGTGGCCGCGGGCGGGATGTCAGCGCTTGGTCGTCCTGCCCCCGCTGGAGGCCACCGGCAGCGAGGCCTCACCCCGGCCCCGCTAACCGCTCCCGGGGCCGGGCGTTAGCAAAGAGCTGTTCCCGACGGGATTTATAGGGAATTCAGGGACCTCCTAGGCCAGGCCTCGGCCCCTCGCTCTCGCCATGGAAACCTGCGGAGTCTCCCTCGCGTCCGCTGGCGACGCCGGGCCCGCCCCGGCTTCCCCCAGGGGAGTCCGCGTGCTCTTTGTAACTCGAGTAGGTCCCGGCGGGCCCGTTGCTATGGTAACGTTGCTCGCCCGGCTCCCATAGGCTGGGAGGAGGGAGGCGGGCCTCGGCGGACGTCGCCCACGCTCGGTTTGGGGGTGCTGCTCCACCCCTAATAACTGTTTGCCCGAAAGGAGACCGTAAGGTAGATCCTGTGTGAGGGTTTCAGGGAAGCCCATCAGTACAGAGTGAAACGTCAGGATCACGCCCCACCAACCTTCCCCCCCAAATCCGCTCCTACCAAAGATGTGAAGATCCTTCAAACTAGGGAGAAGTAAGCGTTGTAATTTGGGATGTGGTCTGGCGGGCCACCTCCTTTGGTCCATCCGGGCCCCGCCCACCAAGGAGGGGCTAATTCGAGACCACGCCCCTTCCCTGCTGCAGGGAAGGAGAACCAAAATGGAGGAGTTGGGATCAAGATAAAATTGAGTCAGCGCGACTAATCTCGCGAAGACCCAGGGCGGCTGTGTTCCGCACGCGTCCTCCCAGGCCCCACCGCTCCGCCATTTTCTTAGCTTTGCGCCTGCGCGCTTGCTCCCGCGAGCTCAGCGGTTGGGCTGTAGCTGGGGCGCGCCGGAGGGGAGGAGAAGGCATTGCCAGGCGCGCGCGCGTCGGGAGTGACGCGAAGGGAGCAGGCGAGTTGGGAGGACCGGGTGGGTAGAGTGGCACAGCCAGGGTGTTTGGTGGGCGGTACGTAAAGCCGCTCTGCGTACGAGGGCGCCCATCTCGCTGGTCAGCTGGATCCTAGGAACAGATCCGGGGCAGAGGGAAGAGAGCGCCGGGTCAGGGGCCGCAACCGCCGCTCCCGCGGAGTCCGCCCGCCAGCCCGCCAGCTCTCGCGGGCCTGCCTGTCAGGGTAAGCGGGCCCGCGCCGACCGGAGAGGAACGGGCGGCCAGAGGGTGTGGGGGGGCCCTCTGGGCCTGTGGGAGGAAGGAGAACGGGGCGTGATGAGAGGCAGGGTGAGCGAGACCTGAAGAGGCCCATGGGACAGTAGTAATGTAAACAGCGTCTTCCGCAGGGCAATAATACTCCAGGGACGTGTGCCAGGACTTTACAAAGCACCTGAAATAGGCTCCTCCACTGCAGTCTGCCGAGCTGTATGCAGTTGTTAAAGCCATTTTACGGGGTAGGCAGACTGAGGCGTGCCGGAGGCTAAGTGATTCATGCAGAGCCCCGTGGCTAGTCGGTGGTGTGGCTTCGAACTTAGGTCTGCCTGCTCCTACGCTAGGGCCTGCAATTTGAATTCCTTTGCACGAAAAGCGGGGAGGGCTGAGGAGGAGGAGGGGAGGGAGGAGTGTGAAGTGGGTGGGTCGTCCAGAACCGGAGGCGAATAGTGACGGCCGTTGTGTAGAAGAAAGGACCGAGTTTGGACCCTGCAGGCTGCCCCCCCTCCCCTCCCCCTTGGTTCCTGTGGCCCCGCCACCTTCCCGGCCGTGCTATGGCTTTATGAGCCGGAGCTGTGGCTCCGGAGGAGCCGACGCTCAGGCCTGGCCGCCGCGGGTGGTGGTACCGAGGTTCAGTTCAGGGTAGTGTCTTCTGACTCTTTGGGGGGAAGGCCGAGGAGGGCGGCGGCGGCGGCGACCACCGACCGTGGGCGTTTATGGAGAGGACCCTCTTCCAAGTGGCTGCCATCTCTCCTAACGTGCCTCTGCTTCCTTTTCCATCGCGGGCAAAGGCCGCCAAGCCTTTGTTCAGCCTCTAGCAGGGGGGATGTGATGTTTATTGGTGTTTTTTTTTTTGCACACTTCGTCTTAAAACCAGAAAAACCAAACGTTCTTTTCCCAAGCTGGCGCTGGATTGCTTGCGGAGAAAGCTTTCAGGTGGCTGTATCATTAGTTGCTCTTCAGAGCTTTCCTGGGTAAACAAGCTTTGTTTTGGAGTTGTCTTACTCTATAGGTCGTCAGGAACGACCTGAACAGATTGTACTACAGATCAGCACAGGGCAGGGACCTCAGTAATTCTGTGTGTGTGTGTGTGTGTGTGTGTGTGTAAGAGAGAAAGAGAGGGACCTTTTGTTCTTGTACAATCTAGTGCTGGGAAACAACAGGTATCAATTAGTGCTTGTCCTTGCTTTCTTAGGGAGTGGAGTAGCTCATGTGGAGTCATTTTAAAGTCAGCCTATTGCATGCGATCAAATTCATCCTTAAAAATTGCTTAGGAAGTTGCATTTATGGAGATGGCAGGCCCGTTTCTCAGTAAATCCAGCAGACTCAGTTTTTCCTTCAGCTTTGAAACTCGTTACTCTTTCTTTGGTCCTAAACCAGATAAAGTACTTAGGTTACCTTTAGGGACTGTGTTGCACAAATAGATACTTGAAGAACCTAGTCATTGTGCACTATGAAGCGTACTCTGTGAGAGGCACGTACTGAGAGGCTTAAAAGGAGGAAGACTAACCGAGGGGAATATTATGTCTGTGGTTCCCATCTTAGGCTCATTCAGGAGCAAGTCCTCACTGAATGGAAAGTGGCAAGCAGAATTGCTGGCACTGTTTATTATTATTATTATTATTATTATTATTATTTCTCTTTTTGGCTAGCATACCCAGTTATTTATACTAAGGTGAATGTGCATAATATGAATCCTCTTCAGTTTTTTAAAAAATATATTTTTATTGATGTCAGAGAGGAAGGGAGAGGGAGAGAGAGATAGAAACATCAATGATGAGAATCATTGATCAGCTGCCTCCTGCATGCCCCACATTGGGGATCGATCCCACAACCCGGGCGTGTGCCCTTGGCTGAATTTGAACCTGGGACCCTTCAGTCCACAGGCTGATGCTCTAACCACTGAGCAAAATCGGCTAGGGCTGATTCCTCTTCAATTTTTGAGTGGCACTACATTTAGGGGCTTACAAGCTATTTCCCAAGTTTTTCTAGATGAAGGTTTGGTGCAAGAATTTCTTAACATATTTTTTTGTTAATAGTCTGCTTTTGTGTTCCCCATTTGTCAGATATGTATAACAATGTGGTTAGCTTATTTTATTTATTTAAAAATATATTTTATTGATTTTTTTACAGAGAGGAAGGGAGAGGGATAGAGAGTTAGAAACTTCGATGAGAGAGAAACATCGATCAGCTGCCTCCTGTGCACCTCCTACTGGAGATGTACCTGCAACCAAGGTACATGCCCTTGACTGGAATCGAACCTGGGACCTTTCAGTCTGCAGGCTGACGCTCTATCCACTGAGCCAAACCGATTAGGGCTGGTTAGCTTTTTTTAAAAAATTCTCTTGCAAATGAAGTCATGCTGCTGCCTTTTTTTTTTTTAAATCCTCACCCGAGGATGTGCTTTCATTAATTTTTAGAGAGAGTGGAAGGGAGAGAGAAAGAAAGAAACATCGATGTGAGAGAAACATTGAATGGTTGCCTTCAACTGGGGAACCAGCCCACAACCTAGTTATGTGCCCTAACTGGGAATCGAACCTGCAACCTTTAGGTGTATGGAACAACGCTCCAATCAACTGAGCCACTCAACCAGGGCATGATACTGCCTTTTTAAATTAATGTCTCTGAATTTCAGTTTCTTATTTATAAAATGCATAGGAAGACAGCATTATATAAAGTTGTGAGGAGTTTTCTCCATTGTTATTTTGAGACAGAACCCCACATTTAGTATCAATCATCTATACTTTGCATTATCTTCAAAAGATAAAGACTCATTTAAAAATCATAACCACAATTTAATGTAACCAAAAAAGGGGGGGTTGGGGGAACCCTCACAAGAACCTAAAACAGAAAAGTAAAACCAGCCAGTCATTGTTAAAACTTCTTAAGGTCTCAAAAATGTGAGAGCCCCCCCCCCCCCCCCCCCCCCCGCACAATGGTTTGTTTAAAACTGGATCCAACTAAGGCCTATACATTTTGATGGGTTGATAAGTCTCCTGAGAGTCTTTTACTATTAAAAAAATTTTTTTAGCCCTAGTCGGTTTGGCTCGGTGGATAGAGTATCGATCGACCTGCGGAGTGAAGGGTCCCAGGTTCAATTCCGGTCAAGGGCATGTACCTCAGTTGCAGGTTCCCCAGTCCTTGTCAGGTGTGTGTGCAGGAGGCAATACCTATTCGATGTGTCTCTCTCACATTGATGTTTCTCTCTGTCTCTTTTCCCTCCATTTTCTCTAAAAATCAATGGAAAAATATCCTTGGCCGAGGATTAAACAAACAAAAATTTTTTTCTAAAATTTATTCACTGATTTTAGAGAGTGGAAGGGAGAGAGAGAAACATGGATTTTTTTTTTAGTTTTTTTTCCCCCCAAGAAAAACGATTTTGAATATAATAATGTTACATGCAGTAAACCTTAATATTTCAAGAAAAATGGTTTTAAATATAATAATGTTACATGCAATAAACATTAATATTTCAAGAATAAAAGGATTTTAAGTATAATAATATTACCAAAACTGTACTAACATAGTATGATATCACAAAAGTTGTAGGAAACATTAAAAATCTGCAAATAATAGGGTTACTTCTATTATATTCTAGAATATTTCCCCCCCCTCTGGCTCTGTTTTTGTTCATCAGTTTATGTTGTTCATTATATTTCCCAAATGTTGTGGCACTTATTTATGGATTCATTGGTTGCTTTTTTAAATATATTTTTATTGATTTCAGAGAGGAAGGGAGAGGGAGAGAGAGTTAGAAACATCAATGATGAGAGAATCACTGATTGGCTGCCTCCTGCAGGCCCTCTACTGGGGATGAAGCCTGCAACCCGGGCATGTGCCCTGACAGGGAATTGAACCCTGACCTCCTGGTTTGTAGGTTGACGCTCAACCTCAGAGGTTGAACCACGCAGGCTGGGCATTGGTTACTTCTTGTATGTGCCCCCAGAGATTGAGCCTGCAATCTTGGCATATGGGGATGACGCTTAAACCAACTGAACTACCTGGCCAGGGCTATTCTCTTACTTTTATTTCTTGCAATTTGTTGAAGAAGTTGGATGGTTCTTTAGATTTCTACAGTGGTTCGTTCCTTCCTTCCTTCCTTCCTTCCTTCCTTCCTTCCTTCCTTTTTTTTTTTTTTTAAAATATATATTTTATTGATTTTTTACAGAGAGGAAGGGAGAGAGATAGAGAGTTAGAAACATCGATCAGCTGCCTCCTGCACACCTCCTACTGGGGATGTGCCCACAACCCAAGTACATGCCCTTGACCGGAATCGAACCTGGGACCTTTCAGTCCGCAGACCGACGCTCTATCCCCTGAGCCAAACCGGTTCTGGCTTTCCTTCCTTTTTAAAAAAAATATATTTCTATTGTAGAGAGGAAGGGAGAGGAAGAGATAGAAACATCAATGATGAGAGAGAATCATCGATCAGCTGCTTCCTGCATGCCCCACACTGGGGATCGAGCCCGCAATCTGGGCATATGCCCTGACTGGGAATCGAACCATGACCTCCTGGTTCATAGGTTGATGCTCTAGGTCGATGCTCAACCACTGAGCCATGCCGGCTGGGCTCCACAGTGGTTTCTGTATTTTGCTGATTGTATTTCTTTTTCTTTTAAACATCGATTTATTGTTGCCCTTATGCATTCATTGGCTGACTCTTGTATGTACCCTGACTATCAAACCATAACCTTGGCATATTGGGATGGCACTCCAACCAACTCAGCCACCCAGCCAGGGTGCTGATTGAACTTCTGTGGTCCTATTTAACTTGTTCCTTTGTCCCCTATAATTCCTGTAAATTGATAGTTAAATCTAGAGGTGTGGTCAGATTCAAATTAGATCCCCCCCCCCCCCCGCAAAACGACAGTCATGTGCAGCATGATATTTTGGTCAACGATAGATTGATGTACTATGGTGGTCCTATCTATAATAATAAAAGCATAATATGCTAATTAGACCGCACATCCT